ATACTAAGCAATTTTCTTCTTTGACATTCACAGGAAGCGACATACCTGGAAACATCTTTCCGGAATCCGTGCCACCAATAGCGTTCGGAAAGTTTGGCCAGAGTCTTATCTCGACCGAGGTGACCAGCTGTGGGGTCATCATGGCAGAGATTCAACATGGTAGCCCTCAGAGAAGCTGGAATCACCGATAGCCATTGTTGTTGACCGGGATTTCTGTGACAGAGTAGGCCATCTTCCACTCGGTATGCTCGACGCAGTCGCCGTAAAATGTCTGTCGAACCGGATAATGCGAGGCGCTGTACAATATCTTGTACTTCGTTATCTTGACATTGACTGTGACGTAGGTCGAAAGTCGCACCACAAAAACAAGTGTCACACTCCGGAGCCTCAGGGACCTTGTCTAGGGGGTTGCGGGATAGAAAGTCAGCGTCCTGATGACTACGTCCGTTACGATGTAGGACTTCAAAATCATACTCTTGCAGTAGAATCGCCCAGCGTGCCAGTTTGGCCGTCAAGTCTCGGTTGCTCTGAAGCCAGGTCAATGCTGAATTATCCGTCACAACAGTAAAATGGCGGCCATAAAGGTATGGGCGAAATTTCTGCACCGACCAGACAAGGGCCAGACATTCTAATTCAGATGAATGATTCCTCTCTTCTTGTTGTGTAAGCCTGCAACTTGCGTACGAAATTACTCTTTGAGTATCGTCTGGAAACTCTTGAAGTAGTACAGCTCCAAGTCCTTATCCGCTAGCATCCGTGTGGAGAATTGTCTTTGACAAGGATGGGTCGAAGTGAGCAAGCACCGGGACGTTTAGAAGGGCCATTTTTAGGTCTTGAAACGAGGACTGCTCTTCGTTGCACCATCGCCATGGTACGTTCTTCCGGAGTAAGTAATTCAAGGGGGCAGCGCGGGTAGCAAAGTTAACAATAAAACGGCGGAAATATGACGCAAATCCCAATTGAACTTCTGACGTCTTTGATAGTTGTTGGCGTCGGATATTCAAACAAAGCCTCAAGCTTCGAGGGATCAGGTTTAACGCCGTTTTTGTTTACCACATGTCCCAAGTATGTGATCTCTTTGAAGCCGAAAAAACACTCTTGGGGCTTCAGTCGAAGGTTGGCATCACTTATGGTGTCAAGTACGAGTGAGAGTCTTCGAAGATGTTCTTCAAAAGTGTCTGCGTAGATTACAACGTCGTCAAAATACACCAGCGCCATTGTCCACTTCAGATTTCCCAAAACTCGGTCCATGAGTCTTTGAAATGTCGCTGGGGCATTGCAAAGGCCAAAGGGAAGACGGTTGAATTGGTAGAAACCATCTGGTGTGATGAAGGCTGACTTTTCAGCGTCAATTTTTATGGAGTGGCACCTGCCTGTATCCCGACATCAAATCCAATGTTGTAAAGTATTCCGCTCCCTGCAGTCGGTCAAGGGTATCATCAAGGCGTGGAAGAGGGTAGACATCGAGCTTGGTTGTACTATTAAGCTTTCTGTAATCTACACAAAACCGCACAGTGCCATCTTTCTTTCTCACTAACACCACTGATGATGACCATGGGCTCGTTGACGGACTCACCACACCGTGGTCGAGCATCTCAGTCACTTGCTGTTTGAAGGTTTCATGTTCTGTTGGGGCTAGGCGGCGTAGTGGCTGATGTATTGGTCGGCTGTCACCGGTGTCAATGGTATGTGTCGCATACGGTGTGCATCCAAGTTCGTCCGAACTCAGGGCGATGCAGTTTCGATGTGACAACAATACCCTCTTGATTTTCGTTTTCTGCTCGCAACTCAATTCTGGTCCAAACTTAAATTGTTCCCACGGTAAAGCATTATCCTGACTGTAAAAATTGCACTCGTTATCTGACTCTAGAGAAATACTGGCAAGTATTGAGATCTTGTACTTCGCCAACGGTTGGAGTACACCAATCTGTTTCCCTGGATTGAGAGTGATGTCGTTGGCACCTAGATTAACGACAAGAGCGACGAATTCTCCATTAGTACAAGCCACGAGCGTCCGGGGTGCAGCTAGTTCTTTCCCTGGTTTCGCACAGAGCCACGAGTCGAAAACAGCTTCACCGTAAACCTTTTTGTTGTTTACAGTCAGGCGTATCATTGAAGCAGTCTCGGCAGGTATTGTAGCAGAGTCTTTAACGCATACGTTTAACTCATCCGATATCTGTAATTGAGCACATATGATGTTGGTATATTGGGAAAAAAACTTTAGAAATAGGTGCCACTTTTCCACGGCGACGAAGGAAAATGAGCGAACGAGGTACACAAGCCACACCGAAATACTTTCGCATCGTGGAATGCTGGCGTGTAATGTTTTCATGGGTGGATGCGGGGTTTTGGTGGCCTTGTTCTGTTCGGGGTTCAACTTAAAAAATCCGTTTTTCTGGCACCATTCATAACCCAGAATGATCGGAGAAACGGAATTCGACAAAATTACGAAGTCCACTAACGACGTCTCACCGAGCTCAGTGACCAGTAACTTCCCTTGTCCACCGGTGTGAACTTTGACGCCGTTGGCTGTAAAAAGTTGTGGAGCAATCCGGGAGACATTACAATCAGCCGGTACAAGCGTCGCGTCGATTATGTTAACCGCTGCTCCAGTATCGAGGAGACTTTCTTGTATTCCAATCCCTTGAATCTCCACTTTGGTAGTTGGAAGACCAGTAAAACTCTTTGAAAGAGAGACGAGGGGGACTTGGTCCTCTATACCCGATCCCGCCCCTGTGGACCGGGATATCCGTTTCCCGACGCGCTGTGACACTCTGCAGCCAAGTGTCCTTGTCGCTCGCATTGAAAACAGCGCCTCTTTGTGTTAACTCGTTGGTGACCTTCAGGTTGCTGGCGTGCTCCAGGCGTCTCCAGATGAGTAGTTGGCTGTAACTGTGCCGGGCAAGAAGCCTGGGCGTTTGCTGTTGCCTTTTGAATGGCTGAGATCTCCAACGCCTTAGCCAAAGCCTCTTGAACTCTCTTTGGCCCTCCAAGTCGAACAAATTTTTGAACTTCAGTGTCCGCAATGGCGTCGACGAAGGCAGTAGTGCTGAGAAGGTGAAAAGTGTCGGCGGAAACTCCCACAAATGATTTTCGCGCTAGGCACTCAACTTCCGTTGCCAGGGCTTGGAGTGTCTCCCCCGGCTGTTGTCGGCGGCAACGTAACTCGCCATAGCGGACGTGTTGTAGATGTTTGTCACCAAAGCGGTCTTGAAGTGCCGCTACCAACGTTTGGTAGGTTAGAGCTCTTCCTTGAAGTTGGGCCAGTATCGCGATGGCTGGTCCCTGTAGTTGTGCCGCAAGAGCGTAAGTTGTTTCATCTTTGGACCATTGGTTTGCTTGAGCAACAATATTAGCTTGCTCGAGGTAAAGGTCAAGTGGCACGCTACCATCGAAGGGCTTCAGCTTCAAACGAAGGGGATTCGAGGTGGCAAGAACTGTGCGTACCGTTGCTGAGTCGGTCCGATTCTCCGAGTCTCTCCTTTCCTCTAGCGCTATGATTCTTTGTCGAAGGTCTTCTTGTGCAGACGTAACGGGTTGCACCTGCCCCTGGACGCTAGCCGCCATCGTTGATTCGAAGCCCTGTCTCTGTTACACGAACAGATCCCTCAGTTGGGCGTAGGTAACTGGACCTTCAGTGTTGCTGGTGTCCTCGGGAGAAGGGGAAGTTTCGCCAGACTACTTGTTTCGTGTGAAGGGCATTTTCTTTTCGCAGATCCCACTTCTGACACCAAAATGTTACAGATCGCTTTTTTTTCCGCTGCTGCCACTTCGTCCTTCGCCCGTCTCCGACCCACTTCTCCTTCTTTTTTCTCCTTTTTTGTCCCGCTCGTTGCACCTCAATGTCCTACAGCCACAATATGTAAAGGATATATCTCAAGGCCGCGTTCTTGGAGGGATCCTTCAGCTATTAGTGCCGAGCGGGACCAATAGGAGCTCTGCGATAGCTCGGGAATGACGTAGTGACCAGTATCACATGACGAGGCCAGGTATTTTTATGCATTGCTTTGCTTGGGCTGTGTGCTTTAGCTCTTTGCAGCAGAAACTGTTCGCTATGTGTATTTTGTTTTTACCATCCCGTAAAACCTTCGTGGGACGAAACCTAAAAACAAATTTTAATACGCTAATCTAACCGATCGGAAATTGTGTGCTGAGATGGAATCCTACCATAGTAGTCATGGCTCCCAACACTCCTCGGATACTTCGTGGTGGAGATCAGCGAGCATACTTCTACGTGCCCTTCGCGCGCTTCCCGACTTCAAGCAGGAGGCGAAAGAAAATACATACTCGAAACTACAATTCTGGGTGAAGGCCGCTCGATTCACGGGTTCAGGAAGCAACGACCGCAATCTTAATGACGTCAACGTCCGCTCGAGTCGGTGGGAAGGCTTAGCAAGGTGGGTAGGAAGGCTTAATAAGGCGCTCGTCACTCGCAGCCCACGACCAGCGGCCTCTTCAAATGGATATGTTCGCCCGACTTTTTATTCTTCCGTTGGACCCGTTTCGTATGATTTGTTTGAATCTTGACCTAAACTTTCCGGTTAGCAGGTGCGTCTTATCTCTTCGTCGGCCTCTCGTCATTTTCGGAGCCTGCGCTGGTGGCGGACGCTCTAGTCGCAGTGACACACTGGTCATTTATATTTTCTGCGCTTTCGTGGACGTTAAGCTGAAATAAACATGCTACGAGTTACCGTCGAATCATGTAGTACGTACACTTTATTTTTCCTGTCTCTAAAACCGCGCAAACAAACTGCGAGAAAAAGATACTGCAATGGAATGGCATGTTTAACGCCTGCTCGGCCATCCTCGCGATTGGTTTCTATTTGCTCTGCCTGTTTCCGACATGCTAAAAAAAAAAGAAGAAAAAAAGAAAACTCGCTTTGGGAATTCCGTTTTTCCGGAATCTACCTGTTTGGTGTGTTAACAAGCCTCCGAAGTCGCGTCGACGACCGCTTTGGTCTGGGTCAGTACGATAACATGAAACTAAGTCAATGGGTTCTGTTCATAGGCTGGGACGCCACTGTTGCTGCGCTGCTTGGGTTTAATTTTGACAAGAACTACAGCGACATAATTATGTCTGAGGCAACCCTAAGCTCTCGTTTAAATTAAGGAATCAAACTTGAATTGTGAGCATTGCATCCCAACCTACATCCTACCAAACGAGCGCAGAATCTTTCACGTTATCCTTGATTCTACGTGTCGATAAGAAATCACCAGATGGCGCCACTCCGTCTTCTCGGGCCTATTGCGCGAACGCCATAGCTAATTTTCTTCCGGAGGTATAAAAGTTCGAAGCTCAGGTCTAGGAGATGGCCAAAGTTTCGCTATGCTTATTTCCACAGCCGTCAATTTCACACCGAAGCATGCTTAGAATAATATATCTTCGTCAATTTAATTTACAAAATGTTTACAACATGCACCCCAGGTATTAAAAAATACACTGAAATTTTTTTAGCAAAGAAAATTCACCAAACACGTCAAATAAACCCTTTTTAAAGAAATATTCTTAAAGTATTTAGCAACAAACTACTTAACACAAGACGACGCAAAATACGTCAAACTGGTAGTATATAATTGCATTTTCGAATAAATAAGAAACCTGTTATTAGCCATTATATTGTGACAAGTAGTAATGCAGAAACGCAGATCATTTATCTAGTTGAACTGTAACAAAATTTCACTTCGATGTTTAAAAAAAAAACTCCATTTTCAATTTTCTTTAAACTCTCCTGAACCTTTCAGAGTGATATTAACTAACTTCTGAAGGCAAAAGACTCAACAGCATATGACATCCTCAAGGGAAAAATGAATGCAGACCTTCCCTTAAATTGTGCTATCTTGTCTTCATTATAGGGGCTTTACCGCACGACACCGGCTCCACATTTCGTTTACAACCGACAAAGGATGTACAGCGGTGCTGCACTACGTAGAAAGCCGTGCTGCCCCTAGGTGAGTTCTACATTTCCATTTCCCTGCGTTGCCTCTTAAAAACTTCTCCCCCGTCTCTCCCCCTCCCCTTCCCGGGGCCATTTGCTCATGAAGGACTGTCGGGGGACTGCAGGCATCTGAAAACTTTAAGCACAGCCCCGTTGCTGTGAAGCCAAAAGTACTCACATGAAGGTAGGTTCATCCCCACGAAACCAATTACGCGAAGGAAGTAGTACCTCGAGAATCGGTATATCTGTGTTCAACATTTCGTAACGGCAGACTAACAAGCTTAACATTTCTAAGAGCCCCCGATGCGTGCCGTACAACTAAATACACATAAAAGTCAATTATCACGAGGGTTTTGTTGTGGGTGTTTCCATGCCAATTGAGACAGTAATGGTCCGGATCGTATTGTGTAAATTTCTGTAAGATATCTACGTTATGAAATTAACCTCCTTAAGACAAGCACTTAGCTATGCATACAGGTTGTTTCACGACACGCGATCCAAATCCTTCCTGTGAAAAAGTACTGATCGCAAAACAAAGTGTTGATATAAAGGCTCATGCCAAAGGGAAAATTTCAGAGAGAAAGATGTCTTCGATATAATTAGGTTAATCATTGCTGTTATAAAGTAACATGATAACGAAGAAGGAACAATAAAAGTATACATTTAATTCCTGGTGGGCCGCTCGGTAAAAAGAACACCAAATTTGAACATGTTTTGAAAATGGGATGCGGAGGAGGGAGGGGGGGGGGGGGGGGGAATCGTAGGGATTAACACAATGAAACACAAATATAAAGGTAAAACTAGGAAACCTAACTTTTTAAACTCTAAGTAGAGAAGCATTGCTGTACAGCCCTTGCCGGTTCTAGAAAAGGCGTGTTTGGAGCCGACGTCGTGTGACAAATCCCCGGTAACGAAGTCACGCTCGCTTATTTTGAGTGAAGGTATCGTTTCGTATTTCCTCTAAAGCTGCTCATATGTTACTCAATGTTTCGCCATCAAAAGTTTGTTCACGTCATTGTAAACGGTTAAGAAGATTTTAAAGAAATGATTGGTGTTTTCTTTAAATATTTACGTGCAATTTGTGCACATTCGACAAATTAGCTGCGTTAATAACAGAAGTACTATAACGGCTAATATATTGTCTTTCTGCGTTAATAACAGAAGTACTATAACGGCTAATCACATGTCTTTATTTATTCGTAAAATAAATTTTGTGTATTTTTATGTGAAGGTGTTAGCTGTAAATAATTCGTGAATTTGTCTCCAGCATGTTTTCATTCCACGTGTTTCAGTTTTTTTTCTTAGAGCTTAGCTTTTGACGCTTGTTCCCGTGTTTTGTGGCGTCGGCATCGCCGTCGCCGTCGGCGTAACCGGAAGGGGAGGGGAGAAGGAGGAGGAGGAGAACAGGAGGGGGAGGAAAGGTTCCTTCATACCCTCTAGTCCTCCTCCTTCGTACCCTCTCCTCCACCTCCTTACATAAATAATAATATTATAAATTATTAATTTATATATATGGCTGGTTTAGCTCAAATCGGGCAGGCTAAAAGAGCCTAACTTTTAATTTTGACGAAAAAATATATATTTTGGGGGAATTTCTCAAATGAAGGAGGGCGCCAAGCGCATGTTCCCAAGATTTTTTGTTCTCGAGTTGCGAAGCGTAGAAGCCGCAGTGGCAGAAACTAGTGTTTTTGCCCGCCGACGCAGGTCGCTTTTTTGACACCCTCTGCAGGTGCTAGTGTTTTTCCTACTCCCTTTTAACTTTCCCCCCCTCATTTTATAGGTACTATAAAGATACCTTAACGTATTCAAATAGTTTTAGAAATTTTATTGTTTTATAAAAGCAAAATATCAAACTTGTCACTCAGCTCAATTTTTGGTCGAATTTGACAGGTCATTACTTTGTACTTAAAGAGCAACTCCGGCAAACTCAAAATGAAATAAATTACTAGTATCGTTGTAGTAACACAAAATACGACTCCAGCCAAAATATTACGTCCGTGGGACGCCGCATTATCAACTAATGCCGATAATAAAAATGCGACCCGCCGCGAGCCGCTGCTCCTTAGCGGGAGGCCAGCGGGTTGCCGATCGCTAAAGCAACATTGGGCCGTGATGTCAGTATCGTTCTCTTTTTTTTTACTCCAGTTCGGGTGTTGCGCGGAGTGCGCGTCTTTGAGCGGCTACTACCACTACTTTTTGCTTGTGATTAGTGTGTTTCGACGTTGCTTTTATCTGTAGCTCGTGCAGCTTCAGTATAGCCTTTTGCTTATTTGCTTGTGAAGACTCCAATGCTTCTCAGCGAGCAACTCAGTGCGCCCAAGACTGCCGAGCTGTTCCTCGAAAGATGCCGAGTGCAACCTGTAGCGCTGTGGGCTGCTCAAGCAACCCGCCGCGCAACGCGGATGTGTTTTTTCACAAGTTTCCAAAGCACCAGAAATTGGAGAATGTGTCCACGGGGCGCGGTGCCGTCGGTGCCGAGAAGCGCTCCAATCGCAAACCGAAACTTAAAGACCGGTAGAAGTTGTACGGTTTTCCGCAAAGTCGTAAAATGCCGCGCGTGCCTTCTATCGTTCTGTACTTCATTGCTTTAGTGTTTTTCGATGTTGCTCAGCGAGTTTATAATTAAAAACAAGCCCTTATGCAGAATATTAAAAAAGTTAATAACGCAAAAATAATTAACAACCTAATTATCCCGAAGATCAATCATTTTCTTAAATGGGTCCCTGGCCCAAAAACAAAACGGCACAATCTTTTTTTGTTTGTTTCTTTGCTTCAGGTAGTTTTTGCAATATCGAATTTGTACTTTTCGGGAAACACACTGTATATATATATATATATATAGTAATATTCCTAGTTATCGCGCATCCCCGAATCATCGCCCACCTCATTTTTTTGTCTCATATCGATTCCCCCCGAAAAACACCGCGTCATCGCCCACCCCTTCAAATACCCCAACGCTGACTCCGCGATCCGCGAAAACTCATCCTACCCGAGTGGCGCGGCCGCGGACTTTACAGTTGGAGGATGTCCGTGACAAAGTAAAACGAAGGAGGGAAATGCACTTCTGTTAGTTTACGTATTTCCTCCGTAAGCGACCCCGAAGTGGTTGCGTATCCGTGCGAAAAAGAAAAAAAAACACAAAAAAACGATGGAGATAACATAATAAAAGTTTGTTTCGGCTTACAAAAAAATTTACCCGACGAAAAAAAAAAATTGGGAAGATAACACAAGCAGTAACCCAGTCAGGCATTGCGAGGTAAGCGAGCGCCCCAAATGCTGCATTTTAACCGCGGAGTGTCAGCTCAAAGTCAGTCTCCGCCGAAGCAAGGTCGCCGCGAACCCGCGCCTTCTCCCCGCACGTTGCGACCGCGGTTGTGCAATTGTTTTAGACAAAGCCAACGGGTAAATAAGGCTTTGCTTTTAACTCCCTACACAGACGTTTGTAGTGCGTCCCAATTCCCCCTTGATAGCACGCCGTGCACGGACGCACGCATGTAGGCACCAAACAAGAAAATTGTGCAAGAGCTTGGGATTGACAAGGCGTCCGACTTGGCCCGAAGTCAGAGTATTTGCCAACGCGAACGCCAGCTTATCCGCTTTCCCCGCATCGCTCTTCATCGCTTCTTTGGTCCGCTCGCTCGCTCGTTGCGCCTGGTTATTTTTTTTTTTTCCTGTTGAATTTTTTCTTCTTTAATAACTCGGAGAACAGGGTGGTGACATGCTTTCACGGAACAAACGTTCGCGCTGTATGAAGATCGGCGGTGTTCGTAGCGCATACGCAAGCAACGGACTTCGCGATAGTAATACATTCTGTCATGAGCATTTTTTCTATAAAGCACTAAAACTAAATCGAGTTTTTGAGTTTATTGTATCTCTTGTGCAGCAGCGCTAGATACACAACGAAAGATGGACAGTCTTTTCCGCTTTTTTCAACTTTTTGTTCGCACCCACTGCGACATATGGCCCACTCCAATTTTTTATGAATTTCACGCGGCAGGGGGGGGGGGGGGGGCGATGACTCAGGATAATACGGCACACACACACACACACACACACACACATATATATATATATATCTACAGAGAGAGAGAGAGATTTCATAAAAATATTTCCTCGTAAGTTTTAATAATTCGCGTACATCTTGTAACGCTTTCATACAATAAGGTAACAAAAAATCTTAGTGCGTCCACGCTTCGCTGTGAAATGGACGGCTGTGCTAAATACCATTGCGAAACCTTGGCAATCTCAACGCATCTAGCTTTGAAGTAATATATCTCCACAAGAAAATTAGCTACTGCATTCTCATATAGCTGAGCTCTCCGCTCCAAGAATTCTGCTTTAGCATATATATTTTACATCAACATAAAAATATGACCCGGACCATCACTGTACGATCTGAGGTGGAAACACACATTCGCGACTTATTTCGGCAACTTATAGACCAACTCATGTTTACAAACAAACTGGAGCGCCCCCAGCGGACGCCACCGGCGCCTCGCAAGCGCGATGGAGTGTGGGCAAAAAGCTCGCCGTCGCCCATAAACAAACCATTGAAATGCGACGTGTCGGCGTTGGTGTGAGTCCCCCTGCTCTTTTTCGCGTTCGAATTGTTGATTCTACGTCTTTCTGGAGCTGTCCGACTGCTTGAGCGGCCTCAGCGAAATTGCCGAGGCTCGTTACACCGCTAAACTTCGCGAGAATAATGTGACATGCGGCGATTCATTCCGCGTGGACACCAGAGAATGTACGCTAAAGCCTAATTCGCATGAGGAGATTTCGCTAGCAATTTTCAGTCGCGACGTCGCTCGGGCTGCAAACGCGTGAACCGTAACTGAAATGGTCGACGCCGATGCTGAAAATCGCAAGCAAAATCGGACCAAGTGAATAAGGCATAACAAGTCGGTGATGGCCATGGTAGTAATACTCAACATCTCCTTGTACCTACTGTTTACATCGGGCCTCCTTACCAACTTTCAAACTTAAGTCTTTTGAGGCTTGCACTTACTTCTTATCGCAAGTACCGGACCAACATTTGGTCTACGGGCTTGTGTCGCCTAAAAGAGCAGACGACTGCAGAAGCGATTGAAGGAGCATACGGCAGTTCGAACGATCAGGCGGCCGTTGGAACTTGAAGACGCACTGAACGTAGTCCGGCAGGAGGTCAGTACAACTTGACGGTTTTCCGGCGTTCATGTTGGAACAAAACAAATAAATCTGATGACAACAAGTATCCGTGAATTCAATCCAAAGAACTTCCCGCCCAAGCAATCGTGGTCCGACGGCGTCTGGTTTTCCATTTTCAGGACACATATCCACGTTCTCGGACGAACCAAGCACATGAAAACTGACCTTCAAACCTTTCTCGACTCTTTTGGAACAGCCCCAGTTGCGGCGTTTTGACGAGAAGGAAGGTTTTTGTCAAGTTCCTTTCAAAATAACTCAGGAATACACGTCTCACATGGGAACATCCGCCAACAGCCCCAGACCGGAAGTGCGCCCGACGCGCCACCACCGCGCCATGACGGAGCAGAGATGAGTTCGTGTATAAAATAAATTAAAAATTTAAGTAACATCGAATAATACAGCAATGGTTTGTTATTTTATAATATAACAAACACCTAAAACTAAATATTTCTTAAAGAGACACAAACTGCCACTAGGAGCGCAAATGTTTCGGAGAGGCTTTCTCGTTTGGCCACCCGGCTCTCATTGAACCACCCCAAATTCAGGAACAAGGGTGGTTTTAAAAAATTAATTTATCGTACAGGGACATTTTTTCTGTCAGTAATTAATAATGTTATGCAAGCACCGGTCATTTTTTTTTTTATTAATTTCTATAAGCAGAAATATGATTATTTCTATAAGAAATAAACATATTTCCTTTGTGCGAAAAAAAGACGTGCTTTTTTTTCAAGCAAGAAAAGAACTGGACAACTGATCGCAGGGATTGGAGGTGCCTAATCTTGATGGCGCTACTGGTGGAGCTGACGTTTCTGAAGTTTGACATCAGTATCAGTATTGAGGATTTATTTTGAGGTACTAAGAGATACAAAGAATAATGTTATTTAAGAGAATGTTAAAGAAAAGACATTTTCATCAGGTGAGTATATACAGAGCTGAACAATGAAAACCGTTGCTTTAACCAGAAACACTGAGTGCGATGACGCGTCAACGCCTTCTATAAATATGGCTTGTTCAAAGTGGGCTTGAAATTCCGAGGACAGTTTCTGGTTGCCAGACTCCCAGCCATACGATGGCTGGATTGGCGGGTCTTGGCCCCCTCATCAATTACCGCTATCGCGCCGCGTGTCATCGCGAACCAACACCTCGCACAGCGTTTCGTCAAAATGTCCTGACCAGTAGTGGCGCACTTGAAGACTGTGGTTATGCCATCAGATTATATTCGAAAGCTCTCACTAATTAGTGGAAAATATCGCAATGTTCAGATCTTTATATAAAAGAAAACGATACTCGTTGAAAGTTCAAGGAACGCGGGGCGATGTCTACGATGTTGACACTGGTTGCTGTATGTTTTGTTCCGTGTGCGTTCTTAACGACCGCTGCCGGAATCTTAATTGGCTTCGAAGCCATATTAAGATGTTCGAGAATTTCCACGCCCTCTATTCTCTAAGCGTTCATGACTATGAGTACGTCCAGACGGCACAGTGACAATCCTTCAATAAGTTTGTTTGTCCGCCCTTTCCGCGACTTATCGCACTGTTCCGAGATAGACTGTCCGGCTCTTGATAACGCAAAACAAAAACAACTTTAGACAAAATCTTCGTATAACAGATTTTGCGGTTCTAAACAGTTTCTTATATACGCCGCAGCGAGGTTTTATAGTCTTTCAAATCGATTATCTTGGAAAGGGGCAAGGAGAGAGCTCTCAGCTCTGAGGCAGATACCGAGTGTTTCTGTGAAGGCTTTCGAAAATCCCGACATATAAAGTAAATTTTAAAAAAGATAACCTTTCTTTCTTTCTTTCTTCTTTTTTTTTTTTTTTTTTTTTTTGGGGGGGGGGGGGGGCACTATTTTGCGAGCCACGGCGGACCTCAAGGAGCAAAAGTAAGAACGGAATAATAAAGAAACTAATTACAAGAAATTTACGAATTCCTTTTTTTTAATAAGTAACAATGAACGAGGTAATGATTGACTATCAATCAGTTCAGTCGCTCATGAAGATCATCGCTTTCAAGGTCCGCCCATTCACAGTGGCAAAGTTTGATGAAGTCGAAGATTCAGAATTTTATTATCTATAGCGGCTTCAGTGTAAATCTTTGCACGACCTAATATTCAATAGCGCCCCTCTTTGCAGACCGCGCCGACTTCCGACATTCACTTGACATTTGATTGAGTTGCGCCGAATAACTGCGAGAAGACGCCCTGGGCTTCTACAACAAAGTGTTTTCGATGACATTTTGGGTTACGCTGCACACGATGCGCA